CTCTAGCACCCCCCGAACCAGGACCTTGCACAGGTGCGCTCTCAGCTCCAACTCCAACTCCGCTAGAGTGAGCACCTTTAGGGTCCTTGCCACGAACACCGGCTCCCGCAGGGTCTGCAATAGGCGGTGAGGAGGACTGCGGGGAAGGAGGCTGCACCTGAGGGGCTACCGAGGGGGGAGGGGTAGCGTGGGACACACCTGACGGGGCGGGACCAAGGGGGGGGGGGCTGTAACGGAGGGGCAGGAGTGGGAGATAAAGCGAGGAAGAGAGGGGGAGGAGGAACCGGGAGACCTCGACAGGGGTACCTGACGTAGTAGGGGACGGACTCGTCGAAAGTGACGTCATGGAGTCAAAGAACCGGTGAAGGGGAGGGTGGTAAAAGGTGAAGTCAGAGGAGTCCTCTGGGAAACCAAGGAAGACACAAGGAATGGCGCGAGGCGAGATCTTGTCCGCGGAGGTGTTGCGCACAAGAGCCAAGCAACCCCAGACACGAAAACGCGACGCAGCACCAGGGGACCCGGTCCAAAGACTGGTCGGTGAAACCACTAGCCGAGAGACACGTGGCCAGAGGTTCAGCTGGTGAGCGGCGTACCGAACCGCGTAGGGCCACAGAAAATGGGGGGCACGGGCGTGAGTCACGGAGGTACGAGTGATCTCCATGACCAAGCCTATGCGGCGCTCAGCAACCCCATTCTGCTGTGGGGACTCTGGAAGCGTCCAGGACTGACGGATGCCCTGCTCGCGACAGAATCCAGCGAGTACGCCTGAGCAAAACTCACCCCCGCGGTCGGAGTGAAGACAGCTGACACGACGACCACGAGTGTCCTCAGTGGTAAGCAACCACCTGATCAGCGTAGAAGTCACCTCAGACTTCTTCGCCAGGGGGAACACCGTGGTGTAGCGGGAGTAGTCGTCAACAGCCACCAAAAAGAAACGCTCGCGCTCAGGTCCAAGGCGAGAGGCAGGGCCCCAGACGTCCAAGTGGAGAGTCTCAAAGGGCTCGGTGGCCGGACGAAGGGAGGAGTGAGGGGTGGCGCGCAGCCGACCCTCGACGCAGGGACCGCAAGGTGGTGCAAGCGAAGGCGGCAGCGACGGCAAGACACGCGGGAGGCCTAAGACAAGACGCTGACGAGACATAGCGCGCAGGCGAGGAATGGACGGGTGCCCCATGCGGCCGTGCCACTGAACGGTGGGGTGGGCAAGCGACCGGCAGGAGCAAGACGCAGCAACTGGACCAGACACGGGAACCTGACCAGACACAGCTACCTGGTGAGACGCGGCAACCTGGTGAGACGTGGAGACCTAGCGGGGGGTAGTGACAGGGGTCGGGGGCAGTAGCTGTTGCGGCGGCTGCTGCTGCAGTTGCTGCTGCTGCTGCTGCCGCTGCTGCTGCTGCTCCTGCCGCTGCTGCTGCTGCTGCTGCTCCTGCTGTTGCTGCTGCTGCTGCTTCTGCTGCTGCTGCTGCTGCCCTCTGGGACCAGTGTGAAGCGTGTAGAGACCGGAGCCCGGCTCAGCAGTAAAGGTGGCCAGAGGCTCGTACGTGTCACCGTCTACACAAACCGCAGTCTCACCACAAGGCTCAATCCAAACACCCACCCGACTACTCACGAGTGGCCTCACACCCACCAAGTTCCTGGAGAACGAGGGGACGTGGAAGCCCGTCAGGAAACCCGAGGGAACAGCTGGGCACGGAAGTGTTGTAGTGAAGCGAGCAGTGACTGGTCTCGATGTGGGATCAGCCAGTGCTACAGTGACCGGCGCAGGAACCGGAGTAAGCGTCGTGTGGTCGCGGAAGAAACAGTGCGAAGCTCCGAAGTCTAGAGTGAAAGACAGTGAAGTGTCCTCCAGAGCAGCCCCTGGCCTAGTGTCTACATAAGTACCTACACTAGCAACAGGGACCTCAGCAACAGTAGCACCTAAGCTAACAACACCCGAGTAAACAGAGTCAGAAACACTAGAGTCAACAACAACATACATAGCATGAGGAGTTCCTAAGAGATCAACCAACTGAGACGCAGACATGCCCCAAAGAGCGGGACCATGCTGCTGAACAAGGGGAAGCCAGTCAGGGGCAGGGCCGCCAACCCCGTAGGCCGCACGAATTGTGTCAGTGAGCTGAGCAAAGCACTGACCCGGTGGGTGGCTGCGGCCACAGGGGAGGCCTCGGCGAGTACCTGTCTGAACGAGGTAGGTGCAGGGAGGGTAGACAGCACCGCGCGACAGCTGGCGCGGTCCAGACCCCTGCCCCGGACCCTGCTGCTGTCTCGGCTGCTGCTGCGGCTGCTGCTAGAGGAGTGGCTGCTGCTGCTTTTGTCGCTGAGTCAGGTACCCCGCCACTCCAGCACCTGTAGCCAGCAGACCTGCAGGCGCCTGACGAACCGGAGGGTCACCTCCACCAGCCGTAACAGGGGAGTCAAGAGCCGCTGCACAAGGCGGTCCTCCACCTCCTGCACTCCCGCCATCGCCGCTCGCCACGCCACCTGCGCCGCCTCCACCGCCTCCGCCCGCACCCTGGCCGCCCCTCCTGCCACTCCTACCCCTAGGTCGCACAGAAGCCGTAGCAGCAGCTGCGGTCACGTCAGTAGCGGCAGTGGCGAGGGAGGCAGTAAAGGTGGGCAGCTGAGGGACAGTGCACCCGTGAAACAGTGGAGGGGGCACAGCACCAGAGGCGGAGGTTGCTCTCGACGTCCTTGAGCGCAGACTCAAGGACCTCGATAGTGAGCTCGCTAGGGTGCTTCAAAAGAAGCGCGTCACGAACTGAGGCAAGGCGGTCAGGAAGGCTAGTAGCAATGAAATAGATAGTAATCGCCATAGGGGGAGGGAGCAGTGCAAGCTGTGCGTCAGTGCAGGCAGCGCACCAGCTAGAGTCAAGTGAGCGCAGGTGAGCGATCAAGTCAGCAGAGCGCTCAAACGAGGCGAGGTCAGGGAACAAGAACGGTAGGAACATTCGACCAAGAGAGACAGTGGTGGGAGTAGCGTAGCGGGCCTTGATCGCAGTTTGGAACTCACGAGCAGTGCGAACCTGAGTGAAGTGGGCCTCCTCAGACTCAGGGAGGAGGCTGCTAAGGGCGATGCAGGCCGCAGCGTCACGCGACTTCCACGCCGTCAGGTCAGCACGCTGGCGGGCATAGCGGTCTCTGGCTGCGTCGTCAGGGGCAGTACCTAAAGTCGTAGGGTTGACGGGCGCAGGAAGGTCACCGGAAGCGTGCGCCCACAGAGACTCGTCTGCCTGGACCTGACTCTCGAGGAGGCGGCGCACACGCAGGTGCCAGACGGAGAACTTAAGTGGCCTACCGTCGGCATCAAAACGGAGGACCCTAGGGGTCGCCATAGCGGAGGCGAGTGTCAGAGGTCCACTGGTGATCCCCGATTGATCCTAGGGAAGGGTTACAGGCATGGCGGCCTGGGGGGTTATAGGCGCACTCACCCGCTACACAAACAAGCCCTTTTATCCCAGTGGTTAGTGACTGGGATTCTGACATGGTATCAGAAGGTGGGAACTGATGCTGCCGAAACCTTAAACTCTGAAGGCGCCTAACGAGGGCGTGACAGGTAGTGCAAGAGGTTAAGGCACTACGGGCGCGGCGCTAGCGGGACGGACTGGCGCGGCGCTGGCGGGATGGACGGGCGCGGCGCTAGCGGGACGGGCTGGCGCGGCGTGGCGGGACGGGCTGGCGCGGCGCTAGCGACGTGACGGGCTGGGCGCACACAGCGCGACGGACGGGACGAACAAGGGGGGGGGGGGGGGGGGAGCGTGATGGACGGGACGGACCGGGGAGGGAGCGTGACGGACGGGGCAGACGGGCAGGGCGCAGGGGGCAAGGTGCACGGGGCGCGACGGATGGGCAGGGCGTACGGGGCGCGACGGACGGGCAGGGCGCAGGGGGACGCGGCGGACGGGCAGGGCACACGGGGCGCGACGGACGGGCAGGGCGCAGGGGGACGCGACGGACGGGCAGGGTGCACGGGGCGCGACGGATGGGCAGGGGGCAGGGGGATGCGACGGACGGGCAGGGCGCACGGGACGGCAGGCGCAGCGGGCGCTAGGGCACGGGAGAGACGAGCACGACAGGCGCTAGGGGACAGTACGGGCGTAACGGGCACTAGGGTATAGGACAGGCTCGGGCGCTACGGGCGTGAACGAGAGGAACGAGATTCCACAGGATCCTAACCTAGCTGATACCATGACAAGAACGAATGGATGCATTGATCGTGTTGGTTGGGATACATGAACCTAACTCTAACCACTGTATCACATATAACAAGCCTCACTACCGTATTGGCTACAACATTTGACACATTCCTATAAACCGGTCTACTGAACAACTATCATCGTTACAATTGAGTTGAGATTAAACTACCCATTTACAAAGTCCCGATTCAATTGGAAAAGCATTTTTGCTGCTACACCTCAGCAATATTTCATATGGTTGTATAATACAGTAGGGCTTTATGATTGTAACAATATTGATATCTCACTGCCATATCGATGTCCGCATGTAATTTTTCGTTAGTGACTCGAGTTCGAAAATACAGGCCGAAAGAGCTGATGCAAGGCCTCAGAATAAATGTATTAATGTTTTTTTCTTAAATGAAACCAACCTTATTCGCAGCCCCTCGTCCCAAGATAGTGTGATTTCACAATATCCGAAAAAAAAAAAATATTTTCAAACAAGCATACCTCGCAGCGAAGCCGTCCATAACGAGTCCGCCTCAAGATGAGCAGCTCTTGTAGATCATGTTCCTTCCGCCCGTCAGTCGCTTATTGTACGTGCAGCGCGCGCCTGTGGCCACGTTTAGGGAGCGAACCATTAGGGTACGGCCGTTCAGCAGCGACGGCTTGGCTTGCCTCGTCGCCTGCGGCCGTAGCGGCGGCAGCGAAGGCGTGGCGGAGGCAGGAAGGGCGTAGCGGGGCAGCGAGGGCGTAGCGGCGGTAGCGAGGGTGTGCGACGGGCGTGCGGGGCAGCGAGTGTAGCAGCAGGCGACGAGTGCGGCGAGCATGAAGCGGCAGCCAGCCTCCGCGGAATTTGCGGCTTACCAGGTCAGCCGCGCCGCTTCTCGATCGTCTAGCAGCGAGTACCTTGCGAGCCGCCGATGCCCGCGGCTATTCTAGCGCTTCGAGTCATGCTATGACGCTCAACCCACCTCATGGCCGTTGCCCATCTCCGTGCACGCGCACCTCCACACTCTCACCCCGCGCACCTCCACACTCTCACCCCGCGCACCTCCACACTATCACCCCGCGCACCTCCACACTCTCACCCCGCGCATGCTGCTGTGAGCACTCGCTCACTTCCTCGCTCACTTGCTTGCACTCGTACTCCCTTGCTGCGCCCCTCCACACGCCCACTGCGTGCAGAAGAACGTGAAGCACAGGGCTCGTCTGGATCCTGTCAATGAGCAACACGTGGCGGCAGCAGCTGCTGCCACGTCAGCACTGCAGGAGAAGAAAGCAGGCGGGCTGACGAAGGTGGGTGGAGGGCGGCCGCTCACTTCCTCGCTCACTTGCTTGCACTCGTACTCCCTTGCTGCGCCCCTCCACACGCCCACTGCGTGCAGAAGAACGTGAAGCACAGGGCTCGTCTGGATCCTGTCAATGAGCAACACGTGGCGGCAGCAGCTGCTGCCACGTCAGCACTGCAGGAGAAGAAAGCAGGCGGGCTGACGAAGGTGGGTGGAGGGCGGCCGCATATAGCGGTGTGCTTGTCTTGCTTCCGATTCATTGTTCTCTCTTTCGTCCTTGCTCACTGGCTGGTGGTTGGGGTGGGTGGTGGTGGTGGTGGTGGTGGCGGTGGCGGTGGCGGTGGCGGTGGCGGTGGCGGTGGCGGTGGTGGTGGTGGTGGTGGTGGTGGTGGTGGTGGTGGTGCTGGTGGTGATGGTGATGCTGGGTGCACTACAATATTTGATGGTTCGCTCCTCTCCCTTTTCACTGCCGCATGTCATCCCTCGCTCCAACCGTCTACTGCCACTGCCTGCACCTCGCCCTTCTTCGTCCCCCCCTTTTCTCCCCCCTTCCCTTTCCCACTCCTCCACTTCTCTTCCCTCCCCCGTCCCCCACCCCCCTCCTCACCCACAACCTTTCTTGTTACCACTTGCCTCTACATGGCCTGAGGTCGATGCATGGGTGCGTGTCGATGCATGGGTGCGTGTCGATGCATGGGTGCGTGTCGATGCATGGGTGCGTGTCGATGCATGGGTGCGTGTCGATGCATGACTGCATGGTGTCACGTCTGTATGGCCATGGGCATGGGAAGGTTGGGGGGGGGGGGGGGGGGTTGTTGATGGCATCAGGTGCGGTGGCGGTGGGTGGACGTGGAGGGGCGGGAGGGCGAGGAGGAGCTGGACCGCGCGGCGGTGATGCAGCGCACGGGGCTGCATGCGCGCGACCTGCGCATCCTCGACCCGCTGCTCTCCTACCCCTCCACCATCCTCGGCCGCGAGCGAGCCATCGTCCTCAACCTCGAGGTACGCACCTCAGCCCCGCCCTGCCCTGCCTTGTGCCGCCGTGCCTTGCTGTGCCATGCCTTGTGCTGCCATGCTTGTGGATAGAGAGGTTGGGTGTGAGGTGAGTGCGAATGGCTGTAAGTGACGTTCTTGAGTTGAGCGCGCTTTGGGTTCTGCCTGCTGAAGCCAGTCATGGCACCAGGTCGCACGGCCAAAGGCCATGGAACAGGCTGGCAACCCTGGCAGCAGGTGGGAACAGGCTGGCAACCCTGGCAGCAGGTGGGACTTGGGTGTTCAACGCTGTCTGGTTGACTCGAATTCGGGGCCCAAAAAATACAAAGTTTGGATTTTTGCTCATGTCGAGTTGAGTGCCAGGCACAGGCTGCATTCCCTTTTGCTTCTACTCTCACATCAACATCCCTGTTGTTCCTCCTCGCCTTCCGTGTTTGCATGTGTGCTTGTGTCGTCGTGTCTTGTGTGGAACCTTCCTCCGCCACTCATCTGCCCGGGGTGGTGGCGGCACGCGCAGCACCTCAAGGCCATCATCACGGCTGAAGAGGTGCCTTTCTGCCCTTCATTCTGCTCTTGGCGCCATGCTCCCTCCGCGCCATGCCATGATGCCATCCCATGCCCACCTGCCATCCATGCATTTGCTGCTGTCGCTCGCCCATGTCCGCGTGCAGCGACACTGCATGCCACCGCGTGCAGCGACACTGCATGCCACCGCGTGCGAGTCATCTTTCCTGCCCTCTCCGCACCAGGCAGCCACTGCTTCAATCTGACTTGGAACCGTTCCTCGCAATTCAAATGACCATGAAGTGCACCTCTCCCTTGACATGCCTTTCATGCCTGTCTGCTCTCCCCTCCGCTGGACTGGCCTCGCTGTGAAGCATAACCCCGTCACCCCCTCCGCCCCCCATTCCCCTCCCCTCTCCTCTGCAGGTGCTGCTGCGCAACCTGGCTCACGACGGCGTGCAGCGCTTTGTGGACGACCTGCTGCGCCGCCTGCACCTGCAGCCCGCCGCTGGCCCCCCCGCCGCTGCTCCAGGGGCTGCTCCTGCTGCTGCTGCTGCTGTGGCGGGCGCAGCTGAAGCTGCCATTCCCAGTGCTGCTTCCCCTGGCCCCATTTTCACCGCTGCTCATGCTCCCCATGAGGCTGCTGCTGCTGCTGCTGGCGGCGGTGTGCGTGGCGCTGATGGCTCTGTGAGGAGGCACGACTCAGGCAGTGGCGATGCAAGGGAGGGGCATGGGGGTGGAGGGGGGAGAGAGGGCCATCAAGGGAGAGAGGGCCATCAAGGGAGTGAGGGCTCAAGGGACAGTGGGAACGCTGTTCATGGGAGCGATGCGGCAAGAAGAGTAGATGAGAGGCGGAGAGTAGATGAGAGGCGGAGAGTAGATGAGAGGCGGAGAGTAGATGAGAGGCGGAGAGTAGATGAGAGGCGGAGAGTAGATGAGAGGCGGAGAGTAGGTGCGACATCAGAGATTGAGATGGCGGAGTGTGACGGGCGTGAGAGACGTGTGCCAGTGGATGGCGAAGGGGAGGAGGAGGAAGATGAGGAGGAGGAGGATGAGGAGGAGGATGCATGGGAGGGCATGGGCAGTGCGCACGGGTCGGGGGCAGAGAGTGAGCCGCTCACCCTGCGACTGCGAGTGACGGACGGCGGTGGGGGGGAGGGCACGGGGCTAGAAGCAGAGGGGGGGGAGCGGAGTGGAGGAGAGAGGGGAGCAAGGGGATGGCAGCATCAGGACGAAGAGGGGGACGAAGAGGACATGGAGGAGTGTGAGTCCCGCTCTACCATGCCATGCCATGCCATGCCATGTGTCTGGTTCACAAGGCGTCTGCCATCGTTACGCAGTCAATCATGCTGTCAATCATGCTGGGTTCGATGTGTCTCAACTGGAACCTCAGCCGGGCTCTAGGCGAACTGTGTTGGTTACTGTGCTCATTTCTATTTACAACGCACCCGTCCCAACGCGCTCCCCTGTGCTGGTTACTGTGCCCATTTCTAATTACAACGCACCCACGTGCCCCCCTGTGCATGGTGCATCAGACCGGCCGTTTGAGTTCATCGCATTGGAGGTGGCGTTGGAGCAGGTGTGCCGCGCGCTGGACTCGCACACCACACTGCTCGAGAACGAGGCCTACCCCGCCCTCGATGAACTCACCTCGCGAGTCAGCGCCCCTTCCCCCACCCCTGCCCCTTCCACCTTGCCTCTCTGCGCTTCTCGCTGCGCTTCCGTCCTCTCGCTTATCAAGTCGAAGTAACGGAGTTAGCGTCTCGTGGGCAAGATGTGACGTGCAAGATCTCTGCTTGTGATGCTGTGCTTGTGTGCATGGCTGGGATTGTCATGGTGGTGGGTGGCAGGTGAGCAGTCTCAACCTGGACCGAGTGAGAAGCATGAAGAACAGAATGAGTCGACTCATTGCTCGCGTGCAGAAGGTTTGTGTTCCTGCTTTTTGTTTTCTCATGTTAACATCCATAAGTGCAGTGCAGCTCACCCATAAGTGCAGCTCATTCATAAGTGCAGCTCATTCATAAGTGCAGCTCACCCATAAGTGCAGCTCATTCATAAGTGCAGCTCATTCATAAGTGCAGCTCATTCATAAGTGCAGCTCATTCATAAGTGCAGCTCATTCATAAGTGCAGCTCAATCATAAGTGCAGCTCATTCATAAGTGCAGCTCATTCATAAGTGCAGCTCATTCATAAGTGCAGCTCATTCATAAGTGCAGCTCATTCATAAGTGCAGCTCAATCATAAGTGCAGCTCATTCATAAGTGCAGCTCATTCATAAGTGCAGCTCATTCATAAGTGCAGCTCATTCATAAGTGCAGCTCATTCATAAGTGCAGCTCATTCATAAGTGCAGCTCATTCATAAGTGCAGCTCATTCATAAGTGTAGCTCACCCTTGCACCATTCACCACCTGCCCATCCTTTGCTGTTCGCGCTTCTGCTCACCACATGCATGGCATGGACCGGCATGGCATGGCATGGCATGGCACGGCATGGCATGGCATGGCATGGCACGGCAGGTGCGGGAGGAGTTGGAGCAGCTGTTGGACGACGATGACGACATGGCCGAGATGTTCCTCACCCGCATGGCCGCCGCACCCCACTCCCCCACTGCCACCTCGCTGCACGGCGCTGCCTCCCTCGCCTTCTCCCTCCCCGCCACCGCCGCCCTCCACGCGCCATTTGCCGCTCCCCATCTCGCCACCTCCCCTCTCCGCTCGCGGATGTCCATTGGCGGGCGTTGGGGCGCCATGGGCGTGGGGGCGGGGGGTGGCGGCGTGGCGGCGATGATGAGCCGCGCGAGTGCATACAGCAGTGCGCACTCTGACAACGATGATATTGAAGAGCTGGAGCAGCTGCTGGAGGTGAGGTGATGTGATTGTTGTGTTGTCATTGTTGCATGGTATGGTAGGAGACATGTGTGTGCTGGCATGGGAGGGGAGGGGAGGAGAGGAGAGGAGAGGCGAGCAGGGGGGGAGATGACATACAGGGAAGGAGAGGTGGGGGAAGGATAGAGGAGGACGAGGAGAGATGAGAAGAGGAGAAGGGAGGGATCGAGAGGAGACTTTTGAGTCGACTCAAAAGGAGAAGGGAGGGATCGAGAGGAGAGAGGAGAGAAGGAGAAGGGAGGGGAGTTGAGGAGAGGAGAGAAGAGATGGGAGGGGAGGAGGGGAGAGGGAATGGAGCAGATGAGAGGAGAGGAGAGGGGAGGAGAGGAGAGGAGAGGAGAGGAGAGGTGAGGTGAGGTGAGGTGAGGTGAGATGAGATGAGGGCCCTGAACGGCGGCGATGCCAGCACATGTTGTGAGAGGCCACCAGCTTTCCTAGATTGAATTTGTGTGTGGGTGGTCCTGCTGACCACCCACAGACTCATTCCATCACGGTGCAAAACGGAGAAAAAACTCAAACCGCTGTGCACCCGCTGGTATCGTTCATTACCACGACGGATGAACTGTAAAGAAAGCGTAAATGTACGCGCTGGACCCCCCCTCACTGCTCTCACTGCTCATGCTGCTCTCACTGCTCATGCTGCTCTCACTGCTCATGCTGCTCTCACTGCTCATGCTGCTCTCACTGCTCATGCTGCTCTCACTGCTCATGCTGCTCTCACTGCTCATGCTGCTCTCACTGCTCATGCTGCTCTCACTGCTCATGCTGCTCTCACTGCTCATGCTGCTCTCACTGCTCATGCTGCTCTCACTGCTCATGCTGCTCTCACTGCTCATGCTGCTCTCACTGCTCATGCTGCTCTCACTGCTCATGCTGCTCTCACTGCTCATGCTGCTCTCACTGCTCATGCTGCTCTCACTGCTCATGCTGCTCTCACTGCTCATGCTGCTCTCACTGCTCATGCTGCTCTCACTGCTCATGCTGCTCTCACTGCTCATGCTGCTCTCACTGCTCTCGCTGCTCTCACTGCTCATGCTGCTCTCACTGCTCATGCTGCTCTCACTGCTCATGCTGCTCTCACTGCTCATGCTGCTCTCACTGCTCATGCTGCTCTCACTGCTCATGCTGCTCTCACTGCTCTCGCTGCTCTCACTGCTCATGCTGCTCTCACTGCTCTCGCTGCTCTCACTGCTCATGCTGCTCTCACTGCTCTCGCTGCTCTCACTGCTCATGCTGCTCTCACTGCTCTCGCTGCTCTCACTGCTCTCGCTGCTCTCACTGCTCATGCTGCTCTCACTGCTCTCGCTGCTCTCACTGCTCTCGCTGCTCTCAGTGTCACCGTCTGGTCTTGTGGTGTGTATATCGAGTGGTACTCCTAACGTGTGGCTTTCTCATCTTGCCTCTTGCCTTTTCATCTTTATCATCTTGCCTCTTGCCTTTTCATCTTTATCATCTTGCCTCTTGCCTTTTCATCTTTATCATCTTGCCTCTTGCCTTTTCATCTTTATCATCTTGCCTCTTGCCTTTTCATCTTTATCATCTTGCCTCTTGCCTTTTCATCTTTATCATCTTGCCTCTTGCCTTTTCAACTTTTCTCCAATTGCTCTCTCTTCTCCCCCTCTGCTCCATCCCTGCTCTTGCCCCTCTCCTCGCCAGTCCTACTTCGTGCAGATCGACAGCATCCTCAACAAGCTCTTCACTGTAAGCCTTCCATGCCATGCCTTCCATGCCATGCCATGCCATGCCATATGGGCACCACTGATGTCTTCACCTTGCCCCATATGGGCACCACTGATGTCTTCACCTTGCCCCATATGGGCACCACTGATGTCTTCACCTTGCCCCATATGGGCACCACTGATGTCTTCACCTTGCCCCATATGGGCACCACTGATGTCTTCACCTTGCCCCATATGGGCACCACTGATGTCTTCACCTTGCCCCATATGGGCACCACTGATGTCTTCGCCCACTGACAGGCCACCTTGCCTTAATCCGCTATCCTACTCCTCTCCGATGATCTTTCCTCCCTCCCTCCATCCCTCCCCCCCTCCCATGGCACGCCGTGCGGGCGTCAACATCAGCTGAGGGAGTACATCGACGACACCGAGGACTACATCAACATTCAGGTGGGCGCAACACTTGACCCGCTGCTTCAACACTGCTTCTCGTTGAAGTATTGAGTGCGTGCAATGATAACAAGGGTGTGTATTCACGGCTACACCTGCTGCTCTGCATGTCGCATGCACACGTCTCCTGTCTTTTCTCTCCTACACATCTCACCTCTCTCGTCTTCCCTCACCTCTCCACTCCTCTCCTCCCCCCTCCGTTCCCAAATCCCATTGTCACCTGACGTGACCACACAGATCGACAATCACCGCAACCAGCTCATCCAGGTGACCTCGCGTCGGCCCCGCTACTCAATCACACCTCCTTGCTGCTGCTTTCCCCGACGGGTCTTGTGAGGTGGTGGGGCTAGTGACTGTGTTGTGTTGTCAGCCATCCACACAGCCCCGTGTCATGGTCACGGAGGACCAAGTCTCCCTGGTCATGCTCGAGTGTTGACACGTCTCACAACCTTCGTCTCACAACCTTCGTCCTCACCATGTGCCTGGCCTTGTCCTCGAGGGCATTGTGGATGCTGCTTCGGGTCCTGCCCTGTGCCACAGCGTAGTAAGTGTCTAGGAAGTCAGTTTGGGATAAGACTTGCTTGCAGATTCCAGCTTATTTGTCCCCTTCAAGTACAGGCTGTTGCAGTGGTGGATTTCCTTCAAAACTCAACCCGGCAATCATTTCAGAGCACTTGCTTGGTCGCCATGTTGAATCTTCAGAGGAGTTCCGCCTTTGCAACAGCCTGTACATGAACCAAGTCATGTACCATCCTGCCGCTGGTGGCCGTGCGTGGAAGTCATCCTTAATATGCTGCCGCGCAGGAGTCCCTTTCCACTGTGCACGAGGGGCTGCCTCACCACCACCGCCACCTCCTGCAGTGGTCACGCCCATGTTGGGTGGGCCCATAGGGGTGGCATGGAGCGATGTTGGGGCTGGCGAGGCCATCTACCCTCGGCACTTGGTAGTTGCGGGTCTGTGGCGTCGCGCTTTTGAGTGCCTCCCTCCAGATCTGTAGGTCCCTAAGAACTCGCTGTGGCAGTTGTCTGCCGGGACAGCGCTTTCGCTCGCACTGCTCGCGGCACATGTGGCCTCCTTAGAGGAACAGCTGTCGCCAGCACTCCGACGGGGAGGGCATGCTGCTGCCGGCTGCCAGAGGCTGCCTCGCCAATGGCTGACAGCTGTAGTCGTAATCGACTGCTGACGTGTCGTGTCATCAGTGCTGCACGTGTCGTGGACCACCATAAGTGGTCTTCCTGCTGTGGTGGGGTCGGTTCCCTGCTCTACGCCCCCTCACAGTGTCTTCCTGCTCTACGCCCCCTCACAGTGTCTTCCTGCTCTACGCCCCCTCACAGTGTCTTCCTGCTCTACGCCCCCTCACAGTGTCTTCCTGCTCTACGCCCCCTCACAGTGTCTCAACCCTTTTCAAATGGTTCAGCTCTCACTCTCTCCCTCTCTCCCACTTCCTCTCTCTCGTTCTCTTGAGCTCTTGCCCTGCACTGATCTCTCTCAATTGAGAAATCTGCATTGCTTGCCAAGAGGCTCTCATGTGCTCCTCTTTGCCCTCGCCACCCCCTCATCGCCCCTGGCAGCTGGAGCTGGTGCTGAATGCGGCCATCATGGTCACGTCCATCTCCGCCACCGTCGTCGGCATATTCGGAATGAACATCCCCTACGCCTGGAACACAGATCCCTCCGCCTTCGCCTGGGTTCGTTCCAATCCTTCATGCCTCTGCTTTCTTTTTCTTTCCCTTTTAGGGACCAACTGTTTTTGTCTTGCATTGCAACTTTTTCATTTAGGGTTCCGTGTATCCTCATGTTCTGTTGGCAAGCACATCATTGCCATGTGAGTTGTTGTTTGCAGGTGGTTGGGCTCGGAACAATGGTGCCAACTTTTCTTTTCATTGCCCTTGTTTGGTATGCAAGGCACCGCAAGATCCTGGCGTGACCTTAAGAGTTGGGGATGGTGGGCTGTTTTCATTCGGAAGGGCCTCACGTGCCGTACTGCTTAGGGTTAGGGCACACCAATAGATCAGTGTGCCTTGCCCGAAATTCAGTCCCTTTTAGTGCCAGGTTAGCAGGGCCTCAGATTTCAGCGAAAAAAGGCTGATTTAGGGTCGGAAGGCTGATTTTTCAGACATGGGGATAATGCATGGGCTGATATTTCAGTTTTTTTTTTTAGTGTGTGGGCTGATATTTCAACGATTTTTTACAAGTGTACACTGATTGCTCAGCGTACTAACGAGGGTGTAGGCTGAAATCGCGCTATTTCTGATTCGTGTAGGGGGCGTGAGTTTCGGCTGTCTAGGTACCGGTACATCCCCCGTCAGTCACGCCGAAGTTGTCAGGATTGAGAGGAATGGATGATCGATTAGGTTAGGGGGGGGGTACAGGAGAGTGTCGAGAGAATAGAAGTACCCTCTAAGAAACACCCCTACACAACCTAGAACTAAATTATAACAAACATATAATTTGACACACCCCCATAGGTGAAGTAGGGGTGACAGCCAAACCTAACAGTGGTCACAAGACCAGTCAAACAGAAGAGCAAACAAGACAAAGCTCAGGGTGGATCTCAAGGACACCACACAGTCTGAGCACAAGCAGGTGGCCACAAGGCCAGTTCACATGCAGGTTTATAACAAAGCAAGAGATACAGTGATCACAACCTAGCAAGAGTAAACATGCAGGTATATATATATATAGTGATCACAGTACAAGTAAGGTCAAGAGGTAAGCAAGTGAGGTCCAGTAGGCACAAGGCCTAGCAGAGTGCAGAAACGCTGATGGTCACAAGGCTGAAGCGCCTTGGTGAACACATCAGCAGTGTTGGCCTCAGTGGCCACGTAACGCAGACGAAGCTGACCACGCTGCTGCAGCTCTCGAGCAAGGAAGTACCGCAGGGCGATGTGCTTCGTTCTGTGCTCCAGTCTGTGCTCCTCACACAAGGCAATAGCAGCCTGGTTGTCGACGTACAGCACTGGAGGAGAACGAGGCCTCTCTCCCAAGTCGGTCAGCAGGTAGGTCAGCCAGCGAAGCTCCTGGGCAGCCATGGCTGTGGCGTAGATCTCAGCCTCGCAACTGGAGCTGAGAACAGAAGAAGAACGCGTAGAGCGCCAAGAGACAGAGCCAGAGCCAAGGCTGAAAGTGTAACCCTGAGACGACCGCTGAGTAGCCAGGTCGTCCACCCAAGAAGCGTCTGAGTGTCCAGTGAGCACAACTCGGTCTCGCCCTCCAAGCACTAGCCCCATGCCCGACGTACTGCACAAGTAGCGCAACACCCTCTTAGCAGCATCCATGTGCTCCTTCCTGTGACGGCCAGGAGCGACATAGCGTGCAAGGATGCTAAGAGGGTATGCAAGGTCAGGTCGAGTGCATGTCATCAGGTACATGAGGCAGCCCACAAGCTCTGGATACGGGCCACTCGGCTCTACGGACTCATCCGAAGGCAGAGCTGAGAGCGAGTGACCGGTAGGCAGAGGAGTGGACTGAGGCGAGGAGTACGTGAAGCGGAAGCGCTGGAGAACCTGCTGCACCATGTGTGACTGAGTCAGGGTGATGGTGCGCCGTGCTCTGTCCCGGGTGATCCGCAAGCCAAGATAGCTTGTCAGCTCACCCAAGTCTGTGCACGTGTGTCTCCTCTGCAGCTCCGACTTCACGTAGGCGAGTCCTGCAGTGTCAGCAGTGGCAAAGACCAAGTCGTCGACGTACACGAGGATGTAGAAAGGCGGCAGCGAAGTGTCGGTGCGCAGAAACAGCGACGGGTCAGCTGTAGAGGGCGCAAACCCAAGAGCCGCAAGTGTAGTCCTCAGTGTGTCGTGCCACTCACGTGGAGCCTGGCGGAGACCGTAGACCGGCCGCTGAAGCCTCCACTGGGTGCCAGGAGGAAACGACCCAGTGAAGCCAGGGGGGCGGCGCAGCCAGATCTCCTCGTGCAGGCTGCCCTGCAAGAAAGCCGTGCTGAAGTCAAGTGAGTGAAGCTCGTAGTCGCGGTGAGCGGCTATGTGCAGCAGCACCCGAAGAGTGGTCATCTTCGGGGTGGGGGAGAAGGTCTGAAAGAAGTCAACTCCCTCTCGCTGACTGAAGCCTCGAGCCACGTAGCGCGCCTTGAAGACAGGCGGAGAACCCGGCGGCCGCTTCACCCTGAAAATCCACATGCCACTGACGATGTTCGCCCCAGGTGGGGGAACCTCGTCGACGTAGGTGCGTGTGGACTTCCAGGAAGCCATCTCTGCGTCCATGGCTGTCTGCCACTGAGAGGAGTAGGGACCCGCCATCGCCTCAGCGTAAGTGCGCGGGGTCGGGATGTCTGGTGCATCCGGGTCTCCCTCAGGGGCGACTAGCATGGACACGAGATGGGGCAAAGCAGCAGCAAAGCACTGGAACTCCTCCTGTCTGTCCTCAAGAACGTCCGTGCCAAGAGCACACCCACCCCCGACGGACGGAGGACAGGCAGACTCAGACTCAGACTCAGACTCAGACGCAGACTCAGCAACTAGGCTAGTAGCGTAGTCTAGGCGACACCGAGCAGCAAAGTCAACCAACTCAAACACCAGAGCAGACGCAGCGGCAGACTCAAAAGACGGGTCAGTGACGACTGTGGCGAGGAGACGCGTGACAGTGGGACTGGCAGCACGACGGGAGTCAGACTCCGGGTCTGGAAGGGTAGGCAGAGAGGACGCAGGAGGAGACGGCAGAGGGACACGCTGAGGAGCAGTGGAGGGACGCAGAGTCATGTAGTGAGTGCCAGGGACAGGAGGAGGACGCTCACGCGGGACACGACGACCAGTGCGAGCAGCACGAACAGGCGACGCAGGACGAGACGCAGGCTCACGACGCTCTGTAAGGCCTCCGGTGGGACCAGTGTAAGGAGCGGGACCAGGAAGAGGCGAGGCAGGCGGTAACTGTGACTGCGACTGGACAGGTGGCGGACACTCTACGGAGGGAGGAGGACCAGGAGGAGGAGCCTGACCAAGAACCTGCTGAAGGAGCGGTACAAAGTACGGTCGCGGCCGCGCAGCGTCTCCAGAACCAGTAGAGACAGCAGTGGCAGGGTCCTCATCACCAGCAGCAGCTCCAACGTCCGGGTCCTCAGCACCAGCAGCAGCTCCACCGCTCGGGTCCTCAGCACCAGCAGCAGCTCCAACGCCCGGCTCCTCAGCACCAGCAGCAGCGCCACCGCTCGGGTCCTCAGTACCAGCAGCAGCTCCAACGCCCGGCTCCTCAGCACCAGTAGCAGCGTCACCCCCAGGGTCCGCAGCACCAGGAGCACCACTCCGAAGACTGCAGCGCCTCGTGTACCACTCTCGGATCTGCTGAATGGGGGGGAGCTCCTGGGCAGGAGGGGAAGCACTGGTACGAGCTCCAGTAGCACCTCTCCTGAGGCGGCAGTACTGTAGGTACCTCTCCTGCAGCTGCGGGGAGGAGAGAGCTCCTCCAGGTGTAGCACGCTCAGGCTCAGCACCCCCAGACTCAGCACCCCCAGACTCAGCACCCCCAGGCTCAGCACCTCCAGGCTCCGCACCTCCAGACTCAGCACTCCCAGACGCAGCACCCCCAGGCGCAGCACCTCCAGGCTCAGCACCCCCAGGCTCCGCACCTCCAGGCTCAGTACCTCTGGCAGGGCGGGAGTCGACAGCTACCTCAACAGGGTCAACCGGGTCTACCTGGGACACACCTGAGGGAGCGGCACCCTGAGGGGGGAGGGGGTCTACCACAGCGGCACCTGGTGCGAGGAAGAGAGGCGGGGGAGGGAGCGGGGCAGTGCGGTAGGGGAAGAGGCGGTAGAAGGGGACGGACTCGTCAAAAGTGACGTCCTGAGAAGCCAGGACCCGGCGCGAGGTGACGTGGTAAAACTGCCAGCCAGGCGCGTCCGGTACAAAGCCAAGGAAGACGCAGGGAACAGCGCGACGGGAGAGCTTGTCCGCGGACGTGTCGCGGACAAAAGCTCGGGATCCCCAGACCCGGAAACGCGACGCATCGCCAACCTCTCCCGTCCACCGCAGAGTCGGGGAAGTCTCCGGCAAGGAGACACGGGGCCAGAGGTTGAGCTGATGCGCAGCGTACCGGACCGCAAACGGCCACAGAATGTGGGGAGCAGCCGCGTGGGTCAGGGAGGTACGAGCGACCTCCATGACCAAGCCAACGCGGCGCTCAGCGACCCCATTCTGCTGTGGAGAGGCCGGAAGCGTGAACGACTGCTCAATGCCGTGCTCAGCACAGTAGGCTGCCAAGAGGTCGGAGGAGAACTCACCGCCTCTGTCAGAGTGCAAGCGCAGGACAGGAAAGTCCGAGCGAAAACGCTTGCCTAGCTGAAGACGGGCTCGGCTGATCCAGGGGATCAAAACACCAGGGACCTCACCCTTGGTGCGCAAGGGGAAGACCGTGGTGTAGCGTGAGTAGTCGTCAACAACTATCAGGAAGTACCTCTCCTGACCCTGACCACGGACGCGGGCTGGGCCCCACACGTCCATGTGGAGCGTCTGCAAGGGAGCAGTCGTCGGGGGGAAGGAGGAGGAGTGAGGAGCGGCGCGCTGCCGCCCCTCGACACAGGGAAGGCAGTCAGGAGCAGGCGAGGGTGGGAGGGGAGGGAGAACCCTGGGAAGACCAGAGACAAGCTGCCGTTTGTGCATGGCGCGAAGGCGCTGCACAGACGGGTGGCCAAGTCGGTGGTGCCAGAGGACAGTGTCGTGCGCCAGAGAGCGACACG